TATTAAAAATGTACAGATATTTTAGGTTTTATTACTAAATTACTACAAAACACCAGTACTAAAACTTTGTTAATTTTTTTAAAAAATTTTTTTCTGTTTTCTAGGGGATTCTGCTTTCTCTAGAGCACTCCAACTTGCAGATCAAGATTACAAATCAATATTATTAATCAAATTACATAATTTTAACTTTTTTTCATCTATTTTTATACAAAAAGCCTTTTTACTATTTTAGTTCTAATTAACTTTATACAAATTTTGCATTTCAATAATCCTGTCGATCTGATCTGCTGATTATTACACTAGATGACATCTTATTTATCATATCTTTTAACTATCATATCTTTTATTTATCACATCCTTTATTTGGCATACTCCTTATTTGTCATGCTGCTTTACTGAATCAACTAAATCTTCAAGCATCTACTCTTACTACTTAAGAACCAGATTCTTATAATTTGTACTATTATTATAAAAACTACCCTAATTACTATGGATTAGATACTACAGAAAGTAGAATCGGTATACTACAAGTTCTTCTGCCAAGCTTTAAACCCGAATCCTGTGAAACTATAAAATAACAATATTTCTTTCCTATACCTTTACTACCCTCTATTGGCAAATACTAATGTAAAAAATTTTATACTAGTTTTCTTCTGCTAACTATAGGATCGTATATACTCAACAAACTGCAACTGAACAACCCAATATCTTTCTATTTAGCATTTTTGATTCTCAATTAAAGAAAAATAAAGTACTTCCAAAATCTTCTTCTAAAAAACTCTCAGCTCAAAATATATCTCAACAAACTTATCCTCTTCAAGCAACTCTCATATTCCATTCCTAACTTTGAAACAGACTGAACCTCAACTGCAATTCTCCCTCACTCACAATATTATCATATTTGTGTCTTCTATAAAAACAAAACACTTCCTTGTATTGCTACCAAACTAAATTACCATTCTTCTAACTATGTTGTCTTATACGATGTACTATAAGTACTTAAAGTGACATAGTTTGTGTTTTGGTGTTTTAGTGTTTTAATATTTTAGTGTTATAGTGTTTTAGTGTTTTAGTGTTTTAATGTTTTAGTGTTTTAGTGTTTTAGTGTTATAGACTTAAAAATTATTCTATAAAAGGAAATTATTACCAAATTTAGCAACAAATTTTTTGATTTTGCGTTTTTTAGCATTTTAGTGATTTAGCATTTTAGTGTTTTAGTGATTTAGCATTTGTGTTTTAGTGTTTAGTGTTTTAGTATTTGTGTTTTAATGTTTTAGTGTTTTAGTGTTTTAATGTTTTAGTGTTTTAGTGCTTTAGTGTTTTAGTGTTTTAGTGTTATAGTGTTTTAGTGTTTTAATGTTTTAGTGTTTTAGTGTTTTAATGTTTTAGTGTTTTAGTGTTTTAGGAAATTTGTTCCAAATATGGTAGTTATAATAGGCGCATCATGCATAATGATCAAATCAGCCAGAATCATCCACAAAAGTTCGGGTAATGATCTACATAATTGATAGGTGACAATTCGAAAGTGCTGCAATAATCAAAAATTTATTTTGACTAAAAAATAAACTAGACTTCTATTAGAAACCCTATTTTCAAATCAAAAATTAGACAACTTCGTTTATTTGTATTAGTGATGAAATAAAATATATGCTGCGGTTGCTACAGCAATTTCATAGATCATCATCCGAACTTCCGGTGGCAATTCTGGCTGATTCGATCATTTGTTAGACACATTATCAGAACAAAATACATTAACTGCATTAATGATTATGCATGATGCACCCGTTATTAGCCTATCATAACTACCATATTTGGGACAAATTTCTTAAAACATTAAAACACTAAAACACTAAAACATTAAATCACTAAAATGCTAAAACACTAAAACACTAAAACACTAAAATGCTAAATCACTAAAACACTAAAATGCTAAATTACTAAATTACTAAATCACTAAATCACTAAATCACTAAATCACTAAATCACTAAATCACTAAAACGCTAAAACACTAAAACATTAAAACACTAAAACACTAAAACACAAACTATGTCATTTTGGGTACCTATGGTACACCGTAAACGACGCATAACACCCATACCTAAAACATTTACTTTACCGGTTTCGTAAAACCTATAAATAATGAACATATTTCGAACGATCCATTACATGTCTTATATTTTTTCGATTATACATGTCGTTGTCAACAATTTTTTTCAAAAGTATCAGAAGTCACGTTGTAAAGAAATAGTGAATCTTTAAACTTTTTATATATTCAAAATGCTCAATAAACCCGCATTAAATGATTTGACGTGCGGTACATATTAATAAGTATAAAACTTAAACTCACATCAATTTTTAATCAATGATTATTTGTGACGTCTAACAAATTTTACATAATGTTCAAAAAAACTAACCATTTTACGTATTAAATATTAATTTTTAAAATATTGAAATTGCTATAGCTAAACTTTCATTTATCTATTTCTATTCTACTTTAAATTAGACATATTATTTATTTTTTCTTTCAGCTCTTCGATGGCCTTCTCAATTCGTGTATAATTGTCACTTTCTACCTTCTCAATTCGTGCAAGAGAGGGCTCTTTAGATTTAGCCGATCCTTTTATAATTGATTCTTTCAACTCTTCAATAATATTCTCCTTAATTTGCGTAAGAGGGGGTTGTTCTTCAGGGAGTAAAAGAACTTCTGTAAGATTCTTTGAAATGTAAGGTTTCTTATAACCTGACCATTTATTATTTTGGGTAATATCAATTACATACTCGCGGAGCTTAATTGTGTGGCATTCATAAAAACTTTTAAATAAAGGTATATAAGTAATAGAAATATAAGTTTTGCTTTTGCATATAATTAAATAACTTACACAACTAACGGAAACCAATTTTCTTTCCTTCGTTGATGAGGCAACATATATAATAACTCAATTTCTTCTAATATCTATATAATTGATAAAATCTTAAAAAATGTATAAATAAATATAAATATAAATACAGTTCATAAACGTCATACCTCAGCTAATAGAATTAAATATGACTCTTTTTTAGTTTCATTTATTTCATTAGTTAGCATACCGATAAACAAATTCATTAAGTAAGTAGTCGCAACAAAAGAAAATATGATCGTTAACATAAGTAAAGTGGGGTTATCAGATAAATTCCAGCTTGAAATTGGCGTTGTGTCTCCTATTTATCCAAATTGTAGAAGTTGGTATTAAAAAGATTCATAAAGAAATTTGCTATTATCGTTACTTATGATACGAATAATTTTAGAGAAAAAATAATAATTGAAGTTTCACCTGTTAGCATAAGATAAACAGCTGAAATTGCTGAGCCAATCACCATAAACATATTTTCAGTCGTAGTATGGGACTCATTAAGTGAAGAGTTGTCTCCAATTACACTGTTAGGATCCATAGTGTTATATGTTGTAGCTGAATTCAGCGGATCGTTCTGAATAGTGGAATAACGCAATAAAAGATAGAATGAATGTGCAAAAGCGAATATAATAAACCCTAATATTATTAAAAACGAAAATCCTCCTCGAGCTACATTGATTATCATAGAGAAATAAACACTAGAAAATTCAATCACACGAAAGAATAAAAGAAATTTGATTTCCAATAATAAAGTAGAAAATGTAGCAATTTCTGTTGGCATATCGTTACTTTGAAGCCATATAATTGAAGATATAGTTGGCAGTAAATATGCACCTAAATCTTAGTTTGTGATCAAAAAAATAATAGGATATTAGTCATAATTTGATAAAATAGTTAATGCTATGCATTGAATCTATATTACCAAAATAATTCCATGCACTAAATACATAGGTTAATGGCGAGAGAATAAATTGGCGCAATTCAAAAAATAAATGCCCAATTCCAAGATAAATAGTTATATTTAGAAGAATAAATAGGCTAGTATGAGAAATACTTTTGTAATATGTCGCAGCAATTATAAAACTAAAAAGAAAAATCGTATAAATTGCCCAAATTGCAAAATAATATTTTCTTCCATAAGTATTCCATTTAAATATGAGTAGTGCTTCTCCATTTAAATATTTATAAAATTCATTTATTATTTCAAGATGATTTGAATATGTAAAATAACTGTGACTAGGTAGCAATAGTTCTTCCCAAGGATTGTAATTTTTTGGATAAGAAACAAAGTTTGGCAAAGGAATTGCAAGTATTGTTGAACTATGACAATAATCTGCATAATAAATATCGATAAGTAGTTCTACAATTAAAACTCGAAAAAGAGTGTGACTTTTTTGAAAATTTTCAAACCAAGTTTGAAATCTTTTTTTAAAACTAATCCAACGAATCCAAAGATTAGAAGTTATTATATGAAGAATTGATGTTTTAGATAAATGACAGTATCTTCCATAACCGGAAAGATGTGAAGAAAAAGAGTTTTGAATTACAATATTAGAAGAAACTACAAATCCTATCGTAGATAAAATACTTGCTATAAATGTAAGATGATTTGCTGATAATTCATCAAAAAATTCAAAAATAATATTCAACAAAGAAAGTTTAGAAATCAGATGATTATCATTTTGCACAATCTTATCTAAACAACTTTGGCCTAAATTCCTAATCCATTTATCATCCTGTAATTTAATAAATGTTTCCATGAGAATTTTTCCGTAGCAAGTTAAATAAAATTCTTCAAAGAGATTATCTTTCAAAAATGTTCTGAAAAGCTGTATTTCTTCTTTGCCGAATTTAACATCTAAATTTTTATAGATTGTTTCATAACTTGAAGCAGGAAGAAATCTTTCAGAAGTCCAGCTCCCAAAGTAATCTTTAAACTTTATCTTTTCAAATTCGAATTCTTCTAAACGACCATTCCAATAATTCCAATAATAATGCATCTTAATGATCTTAATGTCACCCAACTTAAAGTCAGGTTTATAAGACCAAATAATTAAACCAATACGTGTAATCGTAATGAGATCATCGTTTCAAGAACTTCACAATGTAGTATAAAATTTTTTCCATTTGGGTAAAATGACGGAAGAATATCCAGGCTCTTTTTTTTATCATCTGGATTCCATTGTTTCTTGCGATAATTATAATCTATTGCTGTAAGTTTGACTGATTCATCATCTAATTCCAATCCCCATTTTAAAAATTCCCCTTCAAATACTTCTCTGTCAACATTATAATCATTAGTTAATTTGCTATTTATAATTTCATTTATAATATCAATTGTTTTTTTAGACGGAGTTGTAATGCTATTTGTGTCGTTCAGTTCTTTTCGTAAATAATTGACCCAATCACCAGAATTTTCAGGCACTAATTCATCAATTAACAATTTTCCGTCAATCACATAAATTATTTTATCCGATTGAATTATGTATGGTTCTTGGATCAATGCATTATTTCTTTTAAAAAGCATATTCGCACTTTTTGGGTTTTTGAGATTATAAGGGTCCACTAAATTATATTGATTTCCTGAAATATATAATAATCTTTCTCCTTTTCTAGAAGCGATCAAGTGAATTCTATTTATTACCAATTGTGTAGTAACTAAAATAGAAATAAAAGGTTATTCAAAAGAATTTATATGATCGGTTATTATTTTAATGCGACGACTTACAGAATGAAAGATTCATTCCAGTTTCAGTGGAAAATACATATAAATGTGTTTCATTAATTTCTTCATTTTTTGCGCATACTACTAATAATTCTTCATCATCGCTAATTTCAATAGATTCAGGTGTAAAACCCCAATCTATTAAAATATGAGTTTTAACCGATAATGCGTTAATATTCCACATTGTGAGTTCATAAATCGTATCATTAAATATGATCAATTTGCCTTTAATAGTAATATATATTTTTTTAAAATATCTCAGCTCAATCATTGATTTACAAATCCCGGTCATATTATCTTTAATCGAAAAAACATATGCTCTGTAATATTTAGCATTGACCATTACAATATTTCCGTTATAAATAAAGGATAAGAAATCAATTTTCTTTTGCCAATCTGGAAATTTTAATGTTACTTCTTTTTCTTTTTCAAAATCGAAAATTTCTTGAAAATATACAAAATACGATAAATATTATTGAATTTATTGAAATAGCAATAAGTTAAAGTTATAGGGTTTGTCTCTATAAAGACTGATTGAAACGTGTTTATTATCTGAAATTGCAAATATTCTCTCACCATTTTCTTTTGTGTAAATATTGTCGATATTGATTGTTTTCTCATTCTCTAAACTTTTCCCTTGATTATCAATAGACCAAAGACTAATATAGTTATCTACGTGCAATGCAGCAACGTGTTTCATGTTAGGCGAGCAGACAATTTTCAAAATTTGTTTATTTGCCTCCTCGATTGGAATTTTTACATGAGTATTATCTGATTTAGATGTCATTTCTAATTAACTTTGATAGGAATAATAAATTTTTCAAATAATATTTATAATGGTAAGCAGATGAAATTTCAATAAAAAAAAATTATACAAAGGTTTTTAATCCAGAAATAACCCTTATATGGTCTTATCGTAGATTTGCACTGGTCGTATGGCTTGCATTTCTCTATAGACCCGACTATCAACCTTTCCCAAATGAATGCTATACTTGGGATTTGCAAGTGGTCCTTCCTAATTAGTGCCCTAGCTCGTAGTATATGAGATCTAGTTACAGCGTCTTACGCTGGCATACCCAATTAAATCGACATATCTGTTGATATACAGATTAAGTATTCAATAATCGTCACCAGTAGGAATTGAACCCTGGATCTGCCACTTGGAGGTGACAACTTGACCACTTCACTAAGTCGCCACACCCTTAAATAGAATCTTTTTTTAATTTATCGTTATTGGCTAATTATTTACTAATAATTATCACCACCAGTTATTTTAAGTAAAATCTTTTTTATTTTATTTTAATTTATTTTTACTTTTAAAATTAATATCTAAAATTATCTGACAAACTTATATAATTATAGCATAGTAACAAACTGTTATTTTTTAATGCAAAATAATGTAATGCTAAATATTTATAATTTGTACAAATAACAAAATGTCCAGATCAATATTATTTGACAAATAACCAATATTTAGGCCAAAATTATTCATCATTATTATATTATAGATAATAATATTATTTATATAATTAATTAAATAATTGCAAATAAATTTATTACATTTTTAATTTTAAGTATAATTATTGATTTGAAGAGAATAATGTTACCTTCATATAATATTAACAGTGTTGTATTATAAAAAATACTTGTAACAAGCCTTTCAGTATATTATATTATTTGAAAAATCTATATAATCATAATGCAGCAATGGACTATTATTTTTTAACACAAAATGATATAATGCTAAATATTTATAATTTGTATAAATAATAAAATGTTCAGGTTAATATTATTTAGCAAATAATCAATATTTAGGTCAAAATTGTTTAAAATTGTTATAATTTAAACCATAATATTATTCATATAATTAATTAAATAATTGCAAATAAATTTATTAATTAAAATACAATTTTAATATTTAAAAATTTTAAGTATAATTATTGATATAAAGAAAATAATGGTCCAGTATTGCATTATAAAAAATACTTGTAACAAACCTTCTAGTATATTATGTTATATTACGAAATTGTCCAAGATTTGCTCAACTTTGACATATTTAGTATTTCTTTTTATTGTATATACAAACTTAAAGAGCTAATCTTCTAAACTGCCTTATCTCTTAAATTATATTCTAGGCAAATTTACCTGAAAAATTAAATTGTATTTAGTATTTTTTAAATAAAATAATAATTTATTAATGATATGAAGTATATATTTATTATAGAATATATTCTTGAAAACATATTTTATAAACTTTATTATAAAAATTTTTTAAAATTATTA